TCTCTCTCTCTCTCTCTCTTCTCTCTCTCTCTCTCTCTCTCTCTCTCTCTCTCTCTCTCTCTCTCTCTCTCTCTCTCTCTCTATATATATATATATATATATATATATATATATATTAAATTGGGAATGGGAGTTGAGGGCAGAGATGAAAAGGACGTATGGGCTCAAAAGGATTCGTTAAAAAAAACAAGTTTAAAAAGATCATAGCAGTAACACTCAACATTTTTATCGCATCTCAAATAGTTTAATATTCAAAAGAAGATACTTAAGGTTAAAGATTTCCATGAAAATTTGGTTCTGGACAGTCATGTTATTCCTTGGACAAAAAAGGCGTGATGAACGACGAGGATTACAAGACTGAATTGCTATCACTTATAAAAGGAAGAGCAACAGTTCCTTTGCAATCATAACACATGTTGATATGACAATAATTCAACACTAAATAATTTATAATTTTAATATATTTGTTGGTTTCCAAATGTTTACTTAAAACGATCTAAGTTCTATAAGGATAATAATGTTCCAATCAAATAATAGTACATTAAATTAGTTGAATCATAGATAGACCAACCAATTGAGATGTTATAAACGTACCTTCTACTTTATAACTCACTAATATCTATAATTTAAATATCCTTTCAATTTAAATTTCTTTTTGGGATTGGTGTTTACTTGTTTTATTGGAGTAGCTCCAAAACTTCTTCTTATATTGTGATTCTAGAATGGCAAAAAGTTGAGTACTCAATTGATGAATATAGCTCCTATATACAAGAATCATATTGTGCATTCAAGTTGTTTGACGAATATTACTTGAATTGATCTTCTTTTCTTCTTTATATATATATATATATATATATATATATATATATGCCTTCACATTAGCATAACATCATGTTTAAAAAAAATCTTTCCATTTCTTTGTTATTTAACATGGTGAATTGCAAGCGATATAATTTTCTTATATTTTCTATCTAAAAGACATTGATTTATTTACTTTAGTTTTCTTCTTCTGCACTGATTTTTCAAGCCGAAGAAAGAAGAAGTTGAACCCTTTTGCCGAAAATTTAGTGTAGGACATAATCTCTACATTGCGACATTATGATTGAACTTGTAACAATTGAAACAATACTTGGAATTAATCATTTCAGTGTACATAATAATTTTTATACATGGACTACTTTACTTGACAAGACCTTTGTATTTGAAATAATTTCTCTGTGCAAATGTTATTAGAATCCTTTTAACTCTAGATTTTGAATGAACAAGTTCTTTACATGTATTATTATGTCTATATACTATAAGTGTATTTATGTATACAAATATACAAACATAGAAGTGTATATACAACATTTATATTCAAAGAAAACTCTGTTGTACATGTGTACACAGGAAGAGGTGTGCATCTTTACTACAAGGGTCTGAACTACGGAAAGAAATAAATAGAAGACCAACTTGTTTGAGATAGAAGAACAAGGAAGGCAATAACACTAGCTCCGATCTTTCTTTCTTTATTTTTATGTTCTTTTATGCAAATCATATAACTGTAATTCGCATGGATTAGATTATAGTACCCAAAATATATTTTAATACTTTGATTACTTCAACAAATTTGTATTGCCCTTTTCTAAACCGTATTATAACTTTATAATTTTATCGCCTAAAAAGGCTTTCAAAATATTTGTAACTACAATTGGACAAGGAAATGTGAATTAATATATGCTCTAAGGTTGAAAATATATTTGAAATGAAATAGTCCCTTAATTATTTAATTCTAAAATTGAAATTCATTAATTATAAAATTTATTTATCCTTTTCAAAAGATGTATGCCGCTGGTTGGACTCGAACCAAGAGCTTGAAGTCCATTTCTTTAGTACATGTTGTTTCAATAAATAATAATTTTGCATTAGCTTCAATAATTAAAAATCACAAAGTTTCTGCTGCAAGATTATAAGTATATATATATATAAAAACAAAGAATATAAACACCTATCTCAAGGTCTACATTTGTTCAAACAAACTTCTGTATAACCATATTTTATTGTTCAGTTGATTGTAGTTATTTTTTAATGCTACAAATCTATAACAACAAATATTAGATCGAATATGTATAGTTCAAGTAACAGAAGGAGTACTTAGTGTTTATTTGATAAATCTTATTGGCGAATTATACGTTCATCTCTATCCGCAAGAATGCACAAACACATGAAAATAAATAAAAATCGGGTGACTGATTGAGTAGCCTCAGTAGGTATTTTAGAAGCCAATGCAAACAATGTTGTGAAGGATAGATGACAGCCGAAAGGTAACGTAGTAGGCAATCTTAATTTCCAGCCATTCATAAGGAAATATCAAATTGTAGATCGATAACTCACTATGTATCAAAATAATATGAAGACATCAAGTTTGCTATATTTTCAACTGCTTCTTTATATGTAATGTTCTGCAATTAGCTATATCAACTAACATAAAAGAGTAACTCCCATAATGATATTGAATTTTCTTCTATATATATAATATATATATATATACATATATATATATATATATACATATATATATATATATATATATATATATATATATATATATATATATATGCGGATACATTGTGTCTTTGTTGTTATACGAAGGATGACGTTGAAGAGATAAAAATTGAATGTGATATGTACAATCAAAAATAAAAATAGACGAAAGCATATACAACATGAAAAAATACACAATTATAAAATCTTAACTCAACACTAATTATACAAGAAGATAAATTTTTAGCAAAGAAGAAGCAAAAACAATTTCTCCGAGAAATAAGGCACACACACTCAGATTTTACTTTAAATAACTAAACCTATAAATTTGATTTGTACAACTTTTGCTGCACAACGACTAACTAATAAAATTATGTTGTGGTTACAATTATGTTAGGCAATTAATTAGTATTTCAAAAGAGTACTTAGTTAACACTATTCATGATAGTTAGTTAGCTCAAGCCTCAGTTAGTGCAAAGGCTGACCAATTCAGTAGTTCACTCAGGTTGTGTATAATTACAAATTTTTATTGTACATTGGTCACATTTCATCATCTTTCTTCTCTTCCCTTCTAAACTTTGTTAGCTAACTACTCAGAGTTTTCTGTGTTAAGCTGTCATCTTTTTCTAGTTTAGCTCCTACATTAATTATCTTTTTCAAACTTTTTAATATGAATTGAATGAATCATAATCATTATAAAGAAGACTGTCTCACTATTCATTCCAATTTTGGGG